AAATTATTTGTTCTGATATGCAAGAAATTTAGAGAAAGGGAAAAACACTGTGAGCATGTGATACGAAATTCTTATAGATATGAGACAGGATAGTCATCCAAGTACCTCCTCACATGTGTACAATTATCTAGAACTCTTTATCATTGAACGCAGTTTTGAAAGGTTGTTTTACCAGGTTTGTTAATCAGCTTTTGTCACCATGACCAAAATATGAACAAGAACAACTGGAGGTGTTTAAGTTTAGTTTGGCTCATGGTGTCAGAGGTTCAGTCCGTGGTATGCCAAGTCTATTGTTCTGAGCCCCAAGAAGGACAGAACATCATGGCTGAAGGGCGTGGCAGAGGAAGCTGCTCAGAACAGGGCAGCAGGGAAGGGGTCACAGAGAAGATGGACTCTTCCAGACCACAGCCCCAGTGACCCACTTTCTTCAAACACACCTTACCTGCCTACAGTTACCACCTAGTTAGTACATTCAAACTAGGATGAGCTGATTAGGTTATAGCTCTTATAATTTAATTTCACCTCTGAACATTTATTATGTTAACACAGGAGCTTTGGGGGAATACCTCATATCCAAGCCATGATACCAGAGAAGCACCAATTTGTATGTTCTTTTTTTGTTTTTTGTACTAGGGATTGAACCCAGGGGCACTTAACCATGGAGGCACATCCCCAGCCCTTTTTTGTATTTTATTTAGAGATGGGGTCTCCCTGAGTTGCTTAGGGCAACTCACTAAGTAGCTGAGACTGGCTTTGAACTTGGTATCATCCTGGTTCAGCCTCCTGAGCTGCTGGGATTATAGGTGTGTGCCACTTCACTGGCCAATTTGTATGTTCTTAATTCCTGGTGGTTGTGGTAGTGGAGAAGGTGAAGAGTAACATTTAGAATTAATGAGACCCCTGTTTTTAGCCTGATAGGTATTTCTGTTTTATGATGTTCAAGGGAAAAAAAGATAGCAACTTGAGAAGGAAAAATATTGTGTATGAAGATGAAAAGTTTAAAGAGCAATTCAAAAAACTTTTTTTTTTTCCCCTGGGATAAAAGTTACTTTTAAAGTAGTAGAAGCTGGGCATGTTGGTGCAAGTCTGTAATCCCAGTGATTTGGGAGCCTGAGGCCAAGAGGATTGTGAGTTTAGGGCCATCCTGGGCAACTTGGCGAGACCCTGTCTCCAAATAAAAAACAAAAGGGTCTGGGGATACAGAGAGCTTGCCTAGCATGCATGAGGCCCTGCGTACCTAAATAAAATACCTAAATAAAGAAGACAGAGGGCTGAGAGTTTCTGATTTTAGCCAAAGTATAGCCACCTTGAATCTGGATATGAGGGTTGTACTATCCAATTTACATTTCAGTTTCTTCCATATTTTATTTTAGGCTTGATACAATTAAATATTGCAGTATCTATGGAAATTTTTGTGGCAAAGCACCCCTGGGTTCAATCCCCAGTACCTAAATAAATAAATAAGATATAGATTTCTTTTC